TCCCACACCTCTGCCACGAGCTGCCCTGCCGAGCCCGAGGGCAGCCGTCTATGGGCAAGCCACCACCACCAAGCAGCTGACCCCAGGCTCTGTGAGGCGGCTGTGGCTTGGCCCACAGCCCGGGGACATGGCTCACGAAATAAAAAATAGATTTAAAAAGTTAATCTAGGAAGGTAGGTTTTTTCTTACCTTCAATCCTTTAGCGTCTTCGTCTCTCTCTTCCGCCCTCCTCTCTTCTGTTTCCTGCTCCGTATTCCCGCTTTGTATATGCATGCAATGGGGGGGGGGGGAGGAGCCAGCGCACGTGCAGTTGAGCTGTTGCAATTTGGCATATGTGCCGGCTCTCTCTTTCTGCTCAGTTTCAAAGAACGCCTGTGCCGGCTCAGAGCTTTTGGACTCACTCAGAGACCGTTTTCTCCAAGCGAGTCCAGAACTTCGGAGGCAGGCCGGATAAATGAGCATGGCGGGCCAGATCTGGCCTGCAGACCGTAGTTTGAGGAACCATGGTGTAGACCCTCCAATTTTGAGCCTAATGCTGGCCTACCTGGCTCAACTTGCCATCTTTCTGGCACCAAGATAAGATGGCCTTTGATGCCAAAGCCTTTTTTGATGGCTTAAGGGGATTAACCATCTCAGGAGTTTTTTTACAGGGTTGCTCCTTGCAGTTTGCTTTTAGCTGTTCCAAATGGCAATGTTTCCTTGATTTTAGGGTATTTTCACAGCAGTGTATTACCTTGTACAGTGGTACCTCGACTCATGAACGCCTCAGTTCACGACCAAATCGGGTTGCGAACAGAAATTTCCGAAAAATGTTGCCTTGGGTCACGAACTCTGCCCCAGGTGATGATCACGATCTCGCCCATCTCCCCCCCCGAGCGCCCTCGCAATCGTGCGTGCCTCCCCCCCATGCGCGACCGCTTCAAATGTTTGTGATTTTTTAAAAAAGTTACAGAATGGATTAACCTTATTTACATTGAACCTTATGGGGAAATTTGACTTGGGTCACGACCAGAGTCCTGGAATGGATTAAGTTCGTGAGCCAAGGTGCCACTGCACTTATGGGTTGCTCTTCCCATCCAGACAGCTTCACCAATGGGGCAGTATAGAAATGAAATAAACAATAAAAATGTCCTCCAAAGTTGGCCAAGGGACCACTTCTTTCTCCCAGCTGCAGACCAGTTGGTGTTTTCCTAACTTTTGGGGAGCTTTCCCTCATTCTTGAAAAGCTGAGGTAAGTCTCTCAAGGTTCGCAGCTTGGGAGGGCTCCTTGACCTGGAGCTGTCCCTGGAAGCTCAGGTGACTGAGGTGGCAAGGAGCACTTTCCTCCAGCTCCGGCTGATCCATCAGCTGCGTCCCTACCTGGAGAACAATTGCCTGGCGACAGGGACACATGCATTGGTAACTTCCCGATTAGACTTCTGTAATGTGCTCTACATGGGGCTGCCCTTGAAGACGGTCCGGATACTTCAATTGGTGCAAAACAGAGCAGCCAGGTTGCTGACAGGGACTGGGCGTTGTGCTCACATAACTCCAGTCCTGTACCAGCTTCACTGGCTCCCCATTGAAGTCCGGGCCCAATTCAAGGTGTTGGTTATCACCTATAAAGCCCTCAACGGCTTGGGACCTGGTTATCTAAAGGAGCGCTTGCGTCCATATATGCCCTCCTGCCCGCTGAGATTGGTGGCACAGGCCCTTCTCCGGGAGCCCTCTGTGAAGGACATTAGGAGGGTGAGTACTCGGAAGAGGGCTTTCTCTGCGGTGGCGCCCCACCTATGGAATGCGCTCCCCAGAGAGGTCCACCTGGCGCCGTCGTTATTTGTTTTTCGGCGCCAGGCCAAGACCTTTTTATTTAAACGATATTTTAACTGTTAATTGCTGTTTTTATTTATTGGTTCTTATAGCTCTGCCGAGATGTATCCGGATTGTTAAAGTTTATTCAACATTTGTTTATTTGCTTTGTAAGTCACCCCGAGGCTTGTTGCAAAGGGGGCAGCATAAAAATGCTTTAAATAAATAAATAAATAAATAAATAAATAATAGGCATTAAGAGTAAATACATTTGCATGCTCGGCCACCACTCTTTTCCCTGCTCCTCATCCCCGCAAAAAAGCTTCTCCAAAATGGAATTCGGGTGTCAGGGCAACGACAGCACTGCACCCAACCAGTGCATCCGCAGGAGCTGCACCAAGGAGTTCCTGGAGCTCTGGGGTGCTCAGCACCCCCAGGCAAAACCGGAGGAGTCCCGGGGAGACGTGGCCCCACGGCGGTGCCGTGGAGCAGGAACGGGTGGCCAAAGCCCCCCCAAGCCATGGCCAACAAGGCACTGAGGTTGCACAGCGGCCCCAGGGAAGGCCCCCTGCCTGCAGGGTGGGCAGAGAGGAGGCCAGAGGCCCCCAGAGGTCAGAACAGCCATACTCACCCTGGAAGCCCCCCAGAGCCGAGAGAAGCAACCCTCTGCCAGCCTTGCTCTTCTTAGGCTGGGGCTCAGCCCAGCCCCTGCTGTGAGCAGCTGGAAGGCTCCCCCGCGTGAGCAAGCCTGGCTTACCAGCGGCCCTTTCCCACGAGGAAGTCTTGATCTACCTAGCACACCTGCGTTCTCACCTTCGCATGTGCTCCCTGCCTCCACTTGTGCCGCAGAAGCCTCCGTCCTCCTGTGGCCAGACCTCAAGGGCCCCGGAATCTGGCGGGAGCTGTGGGGTGGCCCCAGCCCTCCATCCATTCCCCAGCCAGGGCACGGCGTCCTAGCCCAAGCCCTGCCCATGCTCTGCAGACTGAAGCTGCCTGTCTGTGTGCTTGTCTTGGCTTATTCTGCAAATTTGACAGGTCTCAACCCTCCTCGATTTTTGCTGTGTTAGATCTTTCTTGGAACAGGCCAAAATAGATTGACGGAAAGCAAGCCAGCAATATTTATTAAGAATTCGGCACACAAGGCTAACGTGTAAGGCAGAATGCCTGGGAATGGCCCAGGGCACACAGCTAGAACAAAGCTTTTATAGTACACCTCATCCTCTGAGAAGTTCCTCATAAGCCCCCCTAGTAAGGCTGGGGGTTGTCCCCCCTCCTTCTCTATGCCCCTTTCAAGATGCAGCTCAAACACTCATCCTTGATCTGGTTCCTTCTTGTTCTTTCTTATCTAGGAGCAGAACTTCTCCAGCTGCATATGAACAACTTTTCTAACCCTGTATCTGTTGCAGCAAAGGAGATGCGTCTCTTTCAGCAGGTGTCTGCTGAAAATGTACTTATTCCAAGAAGTGTTTCCAGAAATCTGCTTTCCCCTCCTTATGATTGCACATAAGAAATTGCTTTTGTACATCACTTAGGAATTTCTTATGATATAAAATAATTGGTATGTATTGTTAAAGCAGTAATGAAATGTTTTTCCCTAGAAGCAGGGAGTGTTAAGTAAATTCTTGAAAAGGCTTTGTTTTTAAAGAAAAAAAATACAAGCTATAACCAGTATCTCCTGTGTAATTTTAGTTATAACCTATGTTGGAACATTCATGATCAGCCCAGATTACAAATTCTGAATGGTTTCTTTTGGATTTGTTCTTCCCTCCTTCCCACTCTTTTAACATTGCAGAATAAATATTGAACGCAGATGCTGCATTATTAAGAATGGAGACGATCCTGATATGTAGTTCTTGTTTGCAAAATATATGCATTATACACAGTGGTGGTAACATTAGTATGTGGAAAGTGCTAGATACACGTTAACTGAACAAATGGGCAAAAAGCAAACATAATTTGTACAAGCAGGCAAGCTCTGGTTAGTAAACCATGATTTTTTTCTGAGCATGTGGCAGGTAGTGCCTTCCCACATGCCTCTCCCACTTTCTGAAACACTGAGGAAGACCTAATTTCTGGTTAGCTATCATTACATCTGAACCTGAAAACTCGGGCTTTTGTAGGGCTTAAACAATTCAAAGTTAACCCACAGTTTGCTGTGGGGTTAATTCCGAATTGTTCAGCTCCCACACAATCCCGCATTTCTGAGTTTGGAAATAACCACCACCCAGGGGAAATTGTCTTACTGGCCTTCCTTCAGCCTGAACACACATAGGATTGCACTCTAAATAAGGTATTCTGCAAGGCACACGGACAGCTCTGAGCGAGCAAGGTGAAGCCCTCACCCCACTGGGCATGCTGGCAGTCATGGGACTTTCTTCTGTTTAGGATTATATAAAACGCCAGTGCTATGCATGTCCTTCCTAGAGATCAACCCTGACTGCTCTTTAGAAGGACAGATACTGAAGATGAAACTCAAATACTTTGGCCACCTGAGAGAAGGAAGGACTCCCTGGAGAAGACCCTGATGCTGGGAACAATTGACAGCAAAAGAAGGAGGGGACGGCAGAGGATGAGGTGGATGGATGGAGTCACTGGGGTGGTTAGTGTGGGCTTGGGTGTACTCCAGGGGATGGTGGAGGACAGGACGGCCTGGAGGAATGTTGTCCATGGGGTCGCGATGGGTCGGACGCGACTTCGCGACAAACAACATGCCTGTCCTGCATTTCCCAGCACCCAGCTTTCCATCCAGCCATCTGCTCAGCCTTTCCCCACCCTCCTATAGCCCAGCCCTTGCTCTTCGCAACATCTTGTCAAACGAAGACATCTGAGGATCTCGAAAGCTTGCGCATGTTTGTGTTGCAAGACAGAGCTTGAAAGAAATGGCACTTCGGAATAAAACCCTGGATATTCCCCGCGTCTTTCCTTCCCATCCCGCGCTTCACGTGTCGCAATCTGACTTCTTCTGTAGACCCTGGCAAAGGGACAGCAAGAGTCTGGCTAACAGTTCATGTGATTGAGCGAACCCGGAATCTCGCCATCCAGACACCAGGATAAGCTCCTCTACATGTCTTCTACTTCGTATGACGGCAGCGATCCCTTTCCGCACCGGAAGCGGATGTGCGCCGCGCTAGGCGGCCCTTTTTAGCCGCTCTCTGTGTCTCCTTCCCCGCTCGCGTTTGCGCGGCTTCTTCCGGCTCGCTAGCCTCTGACCCCCGGAAGTGGAGGGCGATGTTGATGCAGGAGTGAACATGGCGTCGTGTAGTAGCAGCGTCGGTGGCGGTCTCGGCTTCCTCTTCCCGTCCAGGGCGGCGGGGGCAGCTGTCGTGGCCGCCCTGCTGGCGGCTGTGCTTTTGGGAGATCCCGCGCAGGCCCGCGTTCACCAGCTCACCCTCAAGGTAGGCCGGCGGAGCGGCGAGGGCGAGGGCCCGCTTGGGCCGTGCCGGCAGGACGAGCCCCGCCTTCCCTCTCCCTCTCTCCCTCTTGCACTCTAGTTCCCATCGGCCCCAGAGAACATAGCCTGTGGTCAGGGGCGATGGAGATTGCAGTCCAACACGTGTAGAGGGCAGGCTAGGTAGCCCTAGCAGCCCTTTCTCTAGCCTGGCTCCCCCTTTCAGATGCTATTCTCATTATTGCATTGCATTTATCGCTTGTCTTTCTTTCGCTAGCGAGGACCCCAGGGCGGGTTGCTAGGTTTTCCTCTTTATTCTGTCCCCACAACAACCCAGGGGGGTAGATTGGCCCAGGAGTTCCTCAGTGGCAGTGGGCTTCATGGCTGAATGGGGACCCCAACCCAGATCTCCTGAGTCCCTGTCCAGCTCTCCTAATGGCTACATCATACGGATGTGTTGCATTGTGATTCCCATCAGTTGCCATGCCTCTGGTCAGGGGTGATTGGTGTTGTGGGGATAGGCTGCGGTTCATCACAGGCTTTCTTGCACTCTGGCATTCTTTTTTTTAATGTGCTGGACAGTGATTCCCATGAGCCCCAGCAGTCCAGCTCATGGCTAGCATCACAGGGGCAGGTTGTGGGGGCATAATGTTGGACTGTGACTTTGATCAGCCCCAGCCATGAAGGGTGGTGATTGGGGTTATGGGTCGTGTGATCCAGCACATTCCGAAAGCAGGTTTTCCCCAGTCTGCTGCGTTCACTCAGTGATTTGCATTGAACCCATCCAGCATAGCCTGTGGTCATGGGTGAAAGTATTGTAGACCCATGTGTGGGAGGGGAGACAAGTTGGGGGAAGAGTGTTTCCAGGCAAGGTAATTGTGCGCTAATTTCCCACATGTCCTGTAAACACAAAAAGGCCATAATGCCAGTTGGCAGCTGTGCTGTCTGGGCTGATGGGAATTGCTGTCAGGAACATCTGGAGGGAAAGCTGTTGTAACTAGCAGTTGAGTAGACTTCAAGTACTCTCTGTGTGTGGAAAGTTTGGTTCAGATTTTAGTAGAACTCAGTGTCCGTTAGCCAGAGCAAGATGCAAAATAGGGTCTGAAGTGGTGAACATATTAGAGACAACAGGTGCAGTGCATGTTAAAAACCTTCATATTTTGGCTGCTGCAAAGCAGGAATTCTAGCATGCAGCTTTCAGAACTGGCCTCAGCAGGAACTGCACAGGTTTTACAGGTGAGGGTTTTGTGTTTGGTAAGTAGGTAGTACAAACAGGCCTTGACCCAGGAAATGTGCTTGTTCTTGTAGCTTTCCTTGTCATTGTTAAACTACTGGGAGTCAAGAGTCCTTTGCTAAATTGCTGAAGTAATGCAAGTTGCCCAGTAGATTCTGATCTAGTTGTCTCTTGGGTCATCTCCTTAGCCAGAGTAGCCACTGAGGCATCCACAAAAAAGAAGTTCATCAGCTAAAAAATGCAGGATGTTTGTACTCTACACATGCTCATACTTATGTATAGATGCAAATTATGATAACCGAAATAGAAATTAAGTACAACTTGTAGTAGTAGGAAGAGCATTACCACAGGGCCAGCATGTCTCCTTAGTCCCGATGCTGCTGATGGCAACTTCAAGGCCCCATTTGTTCTCCTTTTTTATAGTCCTTTTTCTGGACTGGACAGACTTCAAAAGACAAGATTGCTGTCTAGAAAGATAGGACACAAAGCCACATTGTCTTTAGGACCTTGAAACTCTGGGTTGGCAAGTGTTTAATATTGTTATATTTGCCAACATCTAGGTAATCCCTTTACGGAGGCCATGAATGTTCAAAATGTGTTAACTCGGCCCCCACCAAACTCCTGACAGTAAGTAGTTCATGATAAAGCAACCAAATGAACTGTAAAAAGCCTCTTGTGTTTCTGAATTAAGTTTTTGAAGACAAGATCCAGTCTATCAAAAGGTGACAGGTATATAAGTTGTGTTAGTGAAGCCTAAGACTTGTTCAAAAGCCAGGTTTTGATTTGCTTGTTGAAGGAATTTAATCTGGGGGCCTGGTTTTGTGCTGTAGATTTTGTGAGCTTCATGTGCTCCTTGCAAAAGTCCTGCTTCTAGGAGATGTCTGCTGGACTTAGAGTCATACAGTTGGAAGAGGCCCAGTAGACCATCAGGTCCATCCACCTCCTCAGTGCAGGACTCAAGTCATCTATCCAGATTTCAACCTAGCCTGGCCCTACTTAGCTTCCAAGATTAGGCAGCATCAGGCACTTCAGGCTATATGGAAGCTTATACAGACTTCATTTGGTGTAGGTACAGAGAGCGATGCCTGAGGGGCTATGTAACATTTACAAGGCAGCATGTATAGGGTCAGTGCTGGAGCCTACGTCTGGTTTTTTGAGGTCCCAGTCTGGCTGTAGAGGCTTTCCCAGATGGCCTCTTCCCTCTCCCCTTGGTTTCCTACATTTTATGTGGCTCCGCTCAACCCGTTCTAATAAGCTAAAGTGCCTCACCTACGGTTGAATTTCTGGTAATGAGAGCTTTAAGATAAAACATGACAGTAGTTTTAGTAGTTTGGCCCCGCCATTTTTGCCTTCAGTTCTGCACACCCCTGGAATACAGTCCTATAGAACTTGTCTGAAATGCTAAAGCTCTTTCAGCCCAGGGGCCATACTGCATCTGTCCATTCATTCATTCATTCAATTCCCATGCTTCCCTATGGCCAAGTTCTCTAACCTGTGAACTCTCTAACCCTAGGCAGCTTCATAGTTATACATGCAATGAAAAGACACTTGCTTCTGGGGAGGAAAGCTATGGCAAATCTAGACAGCATACTAAAAAGCAGAGACATCACCCTGCCAACAAAAGTGCGTATAGTCAAGGCTATGGTTTTCCCAGTTGCAATGTACGGCTGTGAAAGCTGGACCATAAGGAAGGCTGTGAGCGCAAAAGGATTGAGGCCTTTGAATTGTGGTGCTGGAGGAGACTCCTGCGAGTCCCCTGGACCGCAAGGCGATCAAACCAGTCAGTCCGAGAGGAGATCAACCCTGACTGCTCTTTAGAAGGCCAGATACTGAAGAGGAAGCTCAAATACTTTGGCCACCTAATTAGAAGGAAGGACTCAATGGAGAAGAGCCTGATGCTGGGAACAATAGATGGCAAAAGAAGGAGGGGACGGCAGAGGAGGTGGTGGCTGAATGGGGTCACTGAAGCAGTTGCTGTGAGCTTGAGTGGACTCCGGGGGATGGTGGAGGACAGGAAGGCCTGGAGGAATGTTGTCCATGGGGTCGCGATGGGACAGGCATGACTTTGTGGCTAACAACAACAACAGGCAGTAGAAATGTTTGCTCATTCCTCATATTTGCTGATTGACCAGTGCTCTTTTTATCATGTCGCTACCTCTTTTTTGATAGCGACTAAATAATGATTGGGTTCTTGAAGTGAGAAGCTGCAGCTGCATATCAGCTTCCTGTTGTTCTGAGTTCCTTTTGCATGGTTTGCACTTGCTGTTATAAGGCACAGACCCATATCTGGACAGAGAAAACCCTACAGTCCCCAGGAAGCATGGCTAATTTGTAGGTTTAAGTTTTTTTGTTCTGAATGTGCTTAGTATTGCACCCTTAGTCTCAGGGAAAAAAAAATTCATGTAGTTCATGAAATTCTAAGCCATTTTTTTCAAATTTGTTTTGGGAGAAAAGTAGATAGTAACTCAAACTGTAGGCGTGTTTGCAATATTTTTTTTACAGTAATGATCAAGCTTATAAGCTGCATTTCTCCCTGGCCCTAATACTTAGGCCCTGCCACTTCAAGACTTTTTCAGCTACATATCACGTTACGTTGGTGGTGTTTTCCCTCTGCTGGGGTGAGAAGCGCTGGGCCACTTAGGAGATGCTCTGCAGTTCTGCCTCCTCACGCTGGGGTCCCCTCAGGAAACAGCGTCCAGGGTGGGCGTGACTGAGCAGCTGTTAAGGCTCCACACCCCAGCGGGGCTCCACGCTCAGGCCTCCTGGGGCTCTTGCCCATTGCAACCTGCTTGTTTCCCTGCATCTTGCTCTTGCCCAGACAGCAGGGGTGGCAAAAAGAAGTGATGTATGGATTGTCGTAGTTCTTCATTGTTGGGTTAGTTGTGTTTTCTAGTGGATTTTCTGATTTATTGCTGGGAATTTTACTGTGATGCATTTGTTTTAAATTGTAGGCCTCCCTGAGAGCCCTGCAGGGCTGGAAGGAGGTATAGAAATGCAATAAATAAATGAAGAGGAGCAGGAGATGCCATGGCCTCTTTGTTTACTGGCCCTCTGCTTGCCAAGCAGAGAAATGGAAGTGAGGAAGAGGGGGTGGCAGCTGGTGGTAAGAAGCTGGATTTGCCGAAAGAGGTGGCCCACTGAGGGTATCTTGCTGAAGGGCCATCGTAAAACCTGGAACTAGCTCTGCTCCCCTCCCAGAAACTGGACCACTTTCCCCGAGGACTGTGATGGGCTTGGGGCTTCACTTGCTGGAGGAAAGACACTGACTGCCTTTCCTAGCTCCACAGATGGCTCCGGCTTGGCCATCCTACCATGGTTACGCTGGCTTAAGCAAATGGGAGCGGTCAGCCGAGCACCTGGAAAGCTGCAAGTGGCATGCTCCGGAACGTATCAAAGCCCTTACTGGACTCATCTGCCATGCAGCATTAAGGCAAACAGCAGTATTTTCGAGATGTGACGCAGCAGTGCTGGCGGAATGAAGTCACGTGAGGAAGGGCTATGAGGTCGGGGATTTTTTAGCTTAGAAAAGAGGAAGGAGATGTGGAACAGAGCTATGCCTGGGGTGTGTAAAGTGGGGAGGGATACATTTTTCTCTCTACCCTAATGCTAAAAGTCCGCAGGGTCATTCCAAGAGGCTGATTGCTAAGTAGCTCAGAACAGAGGAAGGGCTGGGTTTCTTCACACAGCACAGTGTTAAACTCTGGAGTTCATTTCCACACGATGCGATGACTTTAAAGGGTGATTGGAGCAATTGATGGAGGAAAAGGTTGTCC